ATAGTATTGTTTTCGTGTATGTGTTCCTCTACTCAGGAGGTACTTGTCCACCAGCTTTGTGCTAGATACAGCTCTGGGTATACAGCTGTGTCTCTAGTGAGGAAACCCGTCAGACAAGGTCCCTGGACCCATAGAGCTTACATCTTAGTGGGGGGAGATAAGCAGTTTGAAAATTAATCAATGCATCAATTAATCAACCGAAAAGGAAAAATATCAGATGGCTGTAAGTGACAAGCAAAGAATTAAAATAGAGGAATGTGCTAGAGATTAGTTACTCAGATTGAGTAGCCTCTTGAAAGGGTGACAATAAAGCTTTGAGTTTTTTCATTACAAGCATGATGTTGTGTATGAATTGCCCTATGGTTACTTTTTTTCTCCACACAGGATTCCTGCTTGTTTTTACAATAGTTTTCAGATCTTTTTATATATATTTTTTTTTCTCTTCTCTAGGAACTTGGCATTAAGTATGCCCTACAGAGAATGGTTAACTTCCCTTTGGTAATTTATTTCTTCAGTATACATTGTCTCATTAACCTGTCAATTTAATTCCTAATTAAGAATGTCATGTATTCTTTGAATTTTTACTGATAATTTATTCTATGCAAGATACTATTCTGAGAACCCTTGGATAACTAAAGATAGATAAAACACATTTTCCCCCACCTTGGAGCTTACAATAGCAGAGACAATATATGCAAATTATAAAACAATAATCATAGAAATGTAATAAGCTACCAATTATTGAACCGTTACTATGTGTTCAAGCATTTTTACATTCCTTATCTCCTAGAAGTAGACATTTTAAATCCATTTTTTTTAAAACTTTTTTTATTGAGTAATAATCATTTTACAATGTTGTGTCAAATTCCAGTGTAGAGCACAATTTTCAGATATGTATGTATAACTGAACATACATATATTCACTGTCACATTTTTTTTTCGTTGTGAGCTACCACAAGATCTTGTATATATTTCCCTGTGCTATACAGTATAATCTTGTTTATCTATTCTACATTTTAAAATCCCAGTCTGTTCCCTTCCCACCACCTCCCCCCCAGCCCCCTTGGCAACTACAAGTTTGTATTCTATGTCTATGAGTCTGTTTCTTACATCCATTTTTGATAAGCAGAGTTAAGAGTCAGAGGGGTTCATTTATTCAGTCCACAGATATTTATGAGTATCTGTGATGGGTCTGGTCATTGTGCTGGATACAAAAAATGTAAATAAATGAATAAATGATTATCTGGATATAATTCCCAGTTTAAATTAATTTATAGTATAAGAACAAGTAGCTAAATATACTTGCTTCCAAAGCTAGAATGATTATTCCCCCCCCACCACACCCCCCACCCCAAGTCAAACACAACTTTTTCAGTGAACCCTTCTTTAACTCCCAGGCAAGGTCAGGTTTACTTGTCACATGATTTCATGGCGCTATATGCCTTCACTTCATAGCACTCATCTCAGTGTATCATTGTACCTTTGTGTCATCATCAGTCAAATCAGAAGCTCCATGACAACAGGGGTCATATTGGGTTTCTTTCACCATTGTAACTAATACCTCAGAAAATGCCCAGAACATAGTTAGGTACTCAATGTACATCTTCTGTCATCATAAAAGAAATAGTATCACTAGAGATCATGTGTTGAAGGTGTATCATGAGTTAGGCACTGTGCCAAGCACTTTACATGCATCATTTCAGTTAACTCTTAAGAAGCCCTATGAGGTAGGAAGAGCTGTATTATTTTATAGGTGAGGACACTTAGGGTCATATAAATTAAACAGTCTTCCCAGAATATCACTGCTATAAAGTAGCATAAGCTAAATGAGTCCAAAGTTCCAGATCTTTCTTACTATGTCACATTGTCTCAAGAGAGCAAAGTTAGAAATATATATAAATATGTATATTTATACACATAGAAATATGCATATATGTACATATACATACATATAAATGCATATGTAGACACATATACATACATATACATATATAATATGAGTTGAACACATGATTCATTCACTCGTCTATCCCTTCTCTGATTCCCAGAACTCATTACCCATGCCTGTCTTAAGACCATTATGTCAGTAAGGATGCTTTCAATTCAAATACCAGAAAACACAACTCAGAATATATTAACTTATAATAATTGTTATTTTACTAACAAGAAGTCTGGGAGGCAGCTAGTTCCCTGGTTGGTCAAGTCAGAAGTTCTACCATTTTATCATGGATTTGGGTTTCTTCCATCTTCTCTGTCACTCTTGGTGGGTCCTCCACAAGGGAAAACTCCCCTCAATCACAACATGGCTGCTGCAGTTCCAGACATTATGTTTCACCATTCACACACCAATGTCCATAGTAGAAAAAAGGGATTCCTTCCCACTTGTGTCCCTTTTAAAAAGCTGAATAAAATTAGTTAAGCTGAGGGTAATTAAACGATGGGACAAAATCTTTGCTCTGACAGCAAGAAATAAAGAGAAATGGCTGTTGAGCAGGACAGCACCAGTGTCTGCCAGGGCCCTTGCCAGTGTTTAACTTACGTTATCATTGTTTATTTACCTATCTTGTCTTTCTTTCTAGATTAGAATTTCCTTACCAGCAGGTCCTGTATATTACACATCTTTGTTATTTGTCTGTTTCTAATATGTTTTATATATTATGCATTATTTATATATTCTATAAATTATATATTTGTATTATTATACAATTATAAATAATACATAATAATAATTATATATTATATACATAATATATAATATATAATAATAATTATATAATTGTATAAATAATATATAATATAATATATATTTTGTAGCATATTATAATATTTATATTTATTTACATTATGTTAATACATTATTACATACATAAAATATATTTCTTTATATTTTATAATATTGTGTATTTATATACTTTTAGATATATATATTTGCATATGTACATGAATATACGTATATGTCTAAAATGTATAATTTTAATGTTTTGTAAAGAACTAATGTTCAGGACCTGTAAGACTGAATGAATTTTAGGAGCTGCTCTTGAAAGGACGGGTAGCGTATGTAGTGTGGGGAGCTGTGAGTGACAGCCAACAGGTCTTAAGAATGTACTCTGTAGGTCACAGGGAGTTTTTGAAGTTTTTGAGTAGATTGGATGGTACAAGTTTACAACAGTAGCTTCAGAAGGGCTCACGACCCCTCAGAAATGTGCACAAATGTTGTGGATATGGACGTACTTCAGGGGAGAGTGTCCAGAATTTTCGTGAGCTTCTCGAAGATTTCCACAAGCCAAAAATCTGAAGAGCGGGGCTGGTAAATTGGAGTGGAGAGAACGCATGGAGGCCAGAAGAGCTGGAAGAAAGCTTGGAAACCGTGTGCCCCAACCTCTTCTGACTGAAACGCAAGTCAGGTTTCCATTTCAGGAACAGAGGACGAATTTTAGATCCACATCAGGGGGGTCTACTTCACCTCGTTTCATGAAATGTGCACATTCAGGAGCTGGTGGTGGTGAAGTGGGTGAGTAATACACCCTTGAGCAAAGGAATGGACTTTCCTGCAAGACGAGTTTTCCAAAGCCAGGCCCCACGGACCCACCCACGTCTCCGGGAGGGAGCTCAGCTTTTCACTGTACTGCCTCCCTCCCTCCCTTTTCGTTTTGTTCTCCTCCTTCCTTCCAAAAGAAACAATCACCAGTGACCCATTTGTGGGTGGGGACTTGGCTTAAAGTTTCTCAAGGAAATGAGCACAACTTCCTCTTGTTTACCAGCGAAGGGAAACATACCTATTTGTGTTCAATATCCAAAGAACAAGAGTTTCCAGTACACACTTCTTTATAAGTCACAATTCCATTACTAAAGGAAACATGCCTCCTGCCCAAACCTTAGGCGAGAAATAGGTACAAATATAAATGGATACACAGATTACACACTAGCTCAAGCCAGACACTCAAAGGAGAACCCCACAAGGGTCCTGGGACCTGTGGGATTTAGTAGTCTTTGAATATTAAAAAATAATGTCCTGTAGCTTTGCAGGACCATCAGAAAACAGTATGAATCTACAATTGAAGTGGTTCCCACATGTGCAGCTATTAAAAAAAAGAGACTTTCTGCCTGCCATTCACCTGCTTGTCTGCAAAGGAGATTATGAGTTCTGGCATAGTTCTAAGGAAAATTGCAAAGCAAGTGAAATTTTCTTTGATGTCTAGTGTTCCCCCTTTCTGCCTGTGATCTCACCTTTGAGCTCCCCTCCCTCTGTCCTTGATTTCAGGATATTCAAATTACCTACAGTTACCCAGAGCTCCTAATTCATGTCTAGCTCATTGGTGTGTTCATCCATTAATATCTATTTAGAATGGATTAAGCGTGAGGCACTGAGCAGACCCATTGGGGTACCAATATGGCTTCCTGCCCTTGAGGAGACAGCATTTACCAGCTAGGGAGTTTGGGTTTTATTGCACAGACAACTATTCCTTAACCTTGGCTGTATATTGGAATTATCCACGAGCTTTTAAAATATAGAAATTCTGTTCCAATAGTTGGGAATAGGGGCTGGGGACAGCAGGCAATAGACGGTGTATTTTTAAATCTCTGCAGGTGATTTTGCCACCAGGCCAGATGATGAGGAGGTGAGAATCACTGCAGAATTCTGGCCTCAGGAATTCTGATCACTCGCTCAGTTTTCTTCTAGGACAAGAACATCATGCTGCTTTCAGCCATTCTTGAGCCTCCTGTTGTTCTCCACCACGACTCTCTTCCAAGTTCTTCACATTTCATTTTCATGCAATTTATGAGTAATATTACTCTTACCCAGTTAATGAAATTGTGCATTTCTTTGCCAAGAGGAAATAGAGGTGCTTAACTGAGTTGATTTTTCTCTCCCAAATAATTTCCTCTTTTTATCATATACTGATTGCTTTGATTCCTCCATTACCACTATAATTCAGTGACTCTCATTTTAGTGTAGTTAAAACTTACTTCAGGTGCTTATGAGTAAGGCTTTGTTTTAATGGAAGTACTGGGAATTGAACCCAGGACCTTGTGCATGCTAAGCACACGCTCTACCACTGAGCTACACCTCCCTCCTGAGTAAGGCTTTTTGGGTTCCACACCCAGGGAATCTGATTCACTGGGTTTGAGATATGTTCAGGAACTTGCATTTTCCCACGTTTTTCATTATGAAGATTTTTCAAACATACAACAAAGTTGAAAAATACGGATTCAAGAATCCCCCCATAGCAGCACCTTGACTCCACAGTTGTTAACGTTTTGCCATGTTTTCTTTATCTCTCTGTTTGTATGAATGTGTGTATGTGTATTTACCACATGTTTTTATATTGTCGAACCATTTGAAGATAAGCTGCAGGTATCATCACATTTCATCCTTATTACTCCAGCACGCATCGTCTAAGAATGAGGATACTCTCCCACATAATAAGGATAATATTATCACCCCTAAGGAAATTAGCAACATCTCCAAAATATCATCCAGTTATATGCATTGTAATAGACACTTCCTAGATCTAGCTTGCTCGCTTTCAAGTACAGAGGTGGAGATTCCAGGCATTATGGTGGGCTAATGGAAGCCAACTTATGGGAGCAAGCAGGACTTATGAGACAACATAAATAAGTCTTGAGTTAGCTCTGAGCGCATTTCACAAATCAGGAGAGACTAATGTCTCATTGGTCCCAGAAGGTCCATGCTACGTGACACAAAGCGTAAGAGAAGCCAGACAGGTCATACAGCTCCTAGGATGCACTCCCACACACTGGCTTGAACTGTAAGAAAGGTGAACTGTTCTTTCCTGCCCCAGGAAACTTCAACAAGATCCTTCTGCCCTCATGTTTACAATAGAAAGTGGACTGGTGAGTGTACAAAAGGCATCTACAATCATTAACTACACACCTAGTTAAAGGGATAGGATTTGCTTCAGTGGAAAGGACCAGTTGAATGATTCTCTGCTGTGATTAAAGAGTTACTGTTGTGGCCCAGCGTCTTGCTTCAGCGGAGCTGTGAGGAGCAGGGATGCTGGGAGCTGTAGTGTGATACTTCTGCATGCTCTCTAATCTCGTCTCCATAAAACAGCATCAGCTGCTGCTGCACACAGTGTAATTTTAACATGACCTTTTCATATTGACAGCATGCCCATAAAAGACTTCAGTAATGACAGTTGGTGATTCCTGTAGCAATTAATGAATGAGCCTGCAACCGTGATCAGATGGCCTCAGGAAAGAGTCTCCCAGAATGCAGGTTTTTACAAACCTAGACCCGAGGAGGATTCCTGGGTGCAGGGTTTTCTAAACATAAGGTTGACCCTATTTCATTATTGCCTCCATGGTTGCATAAGGTCATATCTCCAGGTTCTTCCCAAGCAGCAAAGCTGGAATAGGAAGAGGTGGGGTGAACCAGCGGGCTGCTTGCTAGAATACGTATGAACTTGAGATGGACTTTTTGCTTTTGTAATGCAGTTACAGTGAAAGTTACTCCTTGACTGAGAGGGCAAGGGACAAAGATACCACCCGAAATGACGTGTGTGGTGTGTGCACATGTCTATGATTTTGGCAGGTACTTCTATCCGAAGCAGCCCAGGTGTTTCCTAAACCCACAGTGTGGTAGTGCATGCTAAGCAGTTCACCAGTCTTTCACCATCGCTGGCACTGGATTCCTCAGTTATGCATTTGTTTGCCCCCTGCTCTTCTCCATCGTGACGCTCTGAGCCTGCATGAATCCAGTTAGTATATCTGGAAACCAAAAAAAAAGAGTTAATTCTCCAAAGTGTTTTAGAGCCATAAAGGATAGTAGGATGTACTATTTGCATTATCTCTGGCACTTGGGTTTTCCTTGAAGGACTCACTGTTTTATTTCCCTAGTCAGCATTAGCTCCACCCGAGCCCTGTGGGCTGTCTCTTCCCGCCTCGTCATCTCCTTTCCTGGTCCGGAACATGTTCTGATTGTCTTTCCCTTTTGGAGAACCCAGCCCCTTCTGCTCTTGTATCTATACAAGAATGGAAGTCACTGAGTTTTAACTCTTAGCTTCCCTCTTATCAAGTTGTTAAAACTTGATCAGCCAAAGGCTACCAGGAACAAGTCTGTAGCACGATAAAAGCGGGTTTAGGAAGGAGGGAGGAGGGCACTTCAGGGGCGTGCCGCTAGACAAGGAGGCAGAATGAGGCATCTTTTGTGAATTGGCCTTTTACTGAAGGACTTTGAAGATGGTCTAAGAGAAGCAATGATCAGTTTGGATTGGTTGTTTTGAGTGGGATTAGAAAACGAGGGAATGAACTAGGAATTGGGTGTTGCCAGGAAGTGAAGGTGCCAGGGTGGCTGAGTAATTGGGCATCCCTAGTGAGAAATGAAAATAGCAAGTGGTCTAGGGCATCACTGGTCAGTAATCACCCAAAGAGAGGGTCATTATGGTAATTTCTAACTGCTGCATGAACTTGGCAGAAACAGTGTTTTCTATTAACTTTGCAGCTGCCTTTATCTGTGTCTCTCCTCCCAGCCTGATTTGTGACAGGGGCTCTTTTTCTCTTTTCAGTCCAGGTTGATTTTCATTCTTTCAGTTCCAAATAGATTTTAATTCTTTCAGCATCCTGGACTCTACACTCACCCGATCATTCACTAGGATACATTTCCCCACGGGCACTTAACCAATTGTAGGAATTTGGCTTCATCTTGATTTAACTTGATAGAAACTTCTAGAGCAAACATCAAGCAGCCCTAAAGAGTTGAGGCAAAGCCATATGCCTTCACTAAGAGGTTCCAGTTTAGGATATTTAGAACTTTTCTAAATGCCCCACCACTCTGCTTTTTGATGATGCCAGTGCTATCACAAAAAGTCTTTCCAGATTAGAGCAGGTCTGTTACCCTCCTCCAAAAGCTTGATGGCTTCTCATCAGAAATCTCATTGTGTTAGAAACTCACTATGATTTGGCTCTGTTCTGCCTTTCCGTTCTCCTGTCTGTCTTCCATATATTTTACATTAGATCCACACATGAACCTTGTACTTTCATGTCTCCATGCCTCTGCTTACACTTTCCTTCATCCTGGAGGGATCCTCTGTCCCAGTCAAATTCCTATTTTCTCTTGTCTGATGCAAGAACTTTTGTCCATGAAGCCAGTCCCAAATCATCCTGTTGATACTACCAGCTGCTTCTCTAGCACCCCCGTGGCAATTTGCTTATACCTCTGTTTAGTATGGCTTTTGTCCTGTCTCTTAAGAATGCAGCATTTTTAAAGAACTATCCTTGATATTTGGGGGAAAAAACGTTTATTTTACCTACTCTCTATGTCCTAGGGAAAGTTCTTAACCTGAAGTTCATGACTTCATTGCGGCTCTCTGGGGGGTGTGGGAAGGTGAAGCATTTTGTGAAACTTCATGGATAAGCATATATGTACATATTTATATAATTGTGTATGTGTGTATGCGTAATTTGTTGGAAGAGGGTCCACAACTTTCATCAGCTGCTCAAAGAGATGTCTAACCCAAAAGAGGTTAAGAACAACTATTAGACTATCAGACTGTGGTGGAATGGGCACCCTGCCACTCAAACAGATGGGGGAGATGACTATAAGCAACTAAGAAATCATGAATGTGCATCAAATGTGGGTGCTTAGGGCATGGTACCCAGCTGGGCAGGTGGAGAACGCTATCCACCCAAAGCTGCCAAGGGCTATTAGCCAGTACTGATTAAACTCTGGACTGCACTTGCACTGACTTTTGGAAATTGCAGTAAAATCCTGCCCTCCCCAGTCACGGCACAGAAGCACAGTAGTTGGCTGAGTTTATCCACATAAACGCCCTGACTGTGCCTTTGTTGAGAAGCCAAATTGGCAGTGGCAGCAATGCTACTTGTCCTTGTCTACTTTTTCTATTCCCAGATAAATATTAGTTTGATTAATAATCATGTTTCAGTCAGTCACAGGCCCCATGAAGACTAAAATTCTGGAGGGAAAAAAAAAAGTGTGTGACACATATCTTTTCTCCATCGTGAGAATAAATAGAAAGTTTCCTCAAAAAGATTGCATGATGCCATAGCTTCCTATTCTCTCACTATAGCACAGATGTCTAAGTCTGTGGGTTGCAATACAATATAGTCAACGTGGAGCATGAACAAACGAACTATGACTTGACCTTCAGCCCAAGGGATAGACAGACCCTTGACTCTACACCTTAACTGCTCATGCTAAAAAGGCTCATGATTTTGGGAATGTTTTTCCTGCCACTTCTCTCCTTCCATGCCTTAGAAAATTCTCTATGGAACTGATTTGGCTAATAAGAGACCGGTTAACTCATTTTTAAAAAGGCATGAAAAATATTTACACTTCCAATTGTTATGTGTCTTCACCTGCCCACCAACTAATTCTCATTTTAGAACCTATTGAGATCATTTGCCACGAATTAGTCTCTCTCACAAGGGTATGCTAAGAGAGAGCAAAATAACATGCCATTCAGGCACCTGGGTTTAGGGGCAAAACTCCACGTGTTTCTTCTTCCCCACAAAGTGACTAGTTATCAGTATTATTTCTTTCTTTTCAAGCAAACCCGGTTACAAAAATCCTATTACATCAAAGGCACTATGAAAATTAATTCTTCCAAAAGCAAGTGTGACAATCTTCAAACCTAGCCATTTGTGAATATATGAGCTTATTTCTTAATCTGACAAGCAATAAAACTTGCATATAGTCAAATCAACCCCGATCCTTGAGTTCCTTTGGAATTAACAGACAATATTCTAGGTCAGTAATTTAAAAACTTGAGCATGCATTAGAATCACCTAAAAGGCTTCTTAAAACACAGATTGCTAGCACCATCCCCAGAGTTTCTATATCAGTAGGTCTGGAGTGGAGCTGGAGAATACGGACTTCTTACAAGTTCCTAAGTGATTCTGGTGCTGTTGATGTGGGAACCACACTTTAGTTACTACTGATACAGGACTTAAAGGCTGTAAGGTGTTTGCAATTCAGAAACCAGGACACAACACGTTTTAAAATATCTAGCAATACAGGGTAACATAAGGGTCCAAAATAAGCTCCAATGTGTGTGATCTTAGTGCAGTGGTGAGAGAGAACTCCGGGACA